ACGACGAAAGTGCGAATTTCCAGAGGTAGAGGAGGAGAATTCCTGGCGAGATGAAACTGGTTGATTTCTGCGGTTCTCGAGACTTTGGGAGGGTTTAGTGGATGAAGAGTGTTGTTTGGGAGTGAGTTTTAGGGAGCACTTGTTCAGTTTAATAATTATCTCGGGGTATCTTATCAAAGAAAGTTATAGGATTATTCTGATAGCCCATCTATTGCATTTGGGCCTAGCACCAGTTATATCTTCATCTTATTGGGCCCATAATTTTGTGCGTCATAAATTTGGGCTTTCAGCATCTAATTTTTTTCATAAATTTAAAATGGCCTTAAAATTAATGGGTCCCTTTATTAAATTTAATTATGTAATAATAAATAACTTAGATACATATATATATATATGAAAAAATAATAAATTTAAATCAAAAAATATTATTTTTTTACATATAAAAAAAATACCAATTTAAAAAATAATAATTTCATATAAAATGACAGAATATCAAACTATAATAAATTATTATTTAGAAAAAAAAAACAAATTTTTATTACATCAATAAAAATAAATTACGTACATAAAACTATATGATCTGCATGCCCATAAAAATATCAAAGAGTCATGATTGGCATGATTGGTTGGATAAACCATGTAACTTATGGAGACGTGTATGTATACATATATATATATATATATATTGAATTAAATTAAAAGAATCAACGTAAGCATATTATTGTAATTAATTGAATAATGGCGTAGCACTTGTCCATTAGGTTAGTTTAAGATCAATTTGTCATGCAGTCCATAAGCGAGAGGTCGTCTTGATAAGTAAGTGCATATACGTATACATATACATATAATATATATATATATATATATATATATACAAAGCGACGTATATGTACATACACGACCTTATCGATTCCATATTATATATATATACACTTCAAAACAACAGCCACCAAAACATGACATGACAGAATTATTAGACTATAACCCATTAGAGGTCATGCATAGACGATTAGTAAAATGTGAACAAATTGAATTGTTTATATATATACGTCTCTCTCTATGTGCATATATGTATTTATATATATATATATATGTTTACAAAATTAATATAATATACAGGTTCGAAATTTGAGATTAATTTTTTAAAAATAATAATAAATATATTTAAATATAATTTTTAAATTTATAAATTTTTATTTAATATAAAAATTAGAAAAAATAGGTGGACGATGAAATTAAAAATAATTTAAAAAAATAGGTAAAAATTTAGGTTCAAGAAGTTTTTTTGAAAGAAAAATTAGAAACTAGATGTTAAAATGTAATTTAAGAAAAATGAGTCATGTATGACTGTTCAGTCAGCAGCCTCGACAAACCGGAGCATCGCGTGGCAAGTCATGTTGACTCGGTGTCATGCGGGAGGCCACGTTGGTAATCCACGTGCCCACAATCGGACGGTCTGAATTTGTTCCCGTTCGCGTGGAAGGTCCGGATTTGTTCCCTCTTCAAGCACGATCAAACGGTAGCGATTAAACGTGATGAATGGTTCAGATTTGTTCTCTTTTTAAACGCAATTGTACGGTCCAGATTAAATCGTGATGAATAGTTCAGATTCATTTCCTCTTTAAACGCGATCGGACGGTTAAGATTAAATGCAATAAACGACCCAGATTAAAGGAAGATGGATATAAATATCTCACTTCACAAAAAATCCTAACCCTAGCCGCCAGCCCCCCGCCGGAGAAGAAGAATCAATCGCCATAGAAGGGAGCCGACCGCCGCCCATCGCCACGCCAGAACCACCTCCGACTGCCAAAAAATGTAAAAAAAAAATATTCCATCTAAATTTGATTTTGAACACCTCCATGGCCAAATCGAAGCAAAAGGACCAGCGGATAAGCCGAAAACTGCGGGTAAATCCCGACAGTGCCACCACGAAAAAAATCAAAAACTGCCTCCGATGAGCCCCTTTCCAATTCTCGTTTCGTGCGATTTTTTCACCATTGTAATCACCATTCTATTTTTTACAGGTTAACAGAAGAAAAACACTCAATCGTAAAGGTGAATCGGCGGAGCTATCGCACTGAAAAATCTCGTTGCCGGTGAGTTTTTATTTTTCGACTTTTTTTGGCCAACTGAGACCCCTTAATGTGTTTTCTCGTATGGATGAGTATAAAATCGACCGAAATATGCCAAAACTGGCCGAAAATGACCAGTCCGAGACAAACTATCACCGCGGACGGCAATGCTGTTGCCGGAGCACAGCAGTGCTGCCATGTTGGAATTCTAAAATTAGCTGAAAAAGGTTTTTAACATCGATTTTCAATTTTTTAGAATATTTTTAAGTATTTGAAGTATGTTTTAATCTCCGAAAGATAATTCAGGAGACTCGATGACCGCTAGTAGACGCAGCTGAAAGTTTAGTATTTCGGGCACTGATTCAAATAAGAATCCTTAATCTTATTCTCTGTTATGAAATTGAAGTTTAATTATAAATAATACAGTATTTTGTGTAATTTAGAAAACTTTAATAATTAATTATAAGTTACTAATGGAGCCGGAACTAGTTATTTATTACTGTTTGTCATGTTTTAACTAATTGATTAATTTTACTGTTTTAAATACATCATAATACACTGGAGTTGGTAAGATGATTCAGTTGTGTTTCCTTGATGCATGTATTGATTATTTTACGTAATTTACAGTTAAATTGTGAAACTGGAAATTAAATGTAAACGAAAAATTGTTTAATTAAGTGAATGAATGAATGATAGTCTAACTAAATAACCTAGAAGATTGTAGACAGACCAAGTACATAGGGAACTCTACCGTGAACGTTACCTCATACCAAACGGAGTATCGAGAATTGGTATTTTGGCGCTCATACTAAACGGGGTATGAGACAACTCGTTTCATCCTTATATCGGACGGGGTATTGAGATATTATATTTTTGTCGCTCATACTAGACGGGGTATAAGAACGGCCTGTTTCACCTACACCGTTAGTTGACAGTGTTGAATAAGGGTTCACGCATAATATGAATATCTATATGGACCCACATGGATACCAGTAGGCAGATAAAAAGAAAAAGTTATTGTTCTGGCTAATTAAAAATGATACTATGATGTTGTTTGTGTCATTGCTTTTATAGGTCGGTTTTAAAAATCTCGCTACGGTAAGTATGTAATAAATTATTTTATTTATGATAAATGAATTTACGTAAATTAAGAGTTCCATTAGTTATTTTTATGATTTTTACCAACATTCATTTATGTATCAGTGAGTAGTGTGACATTCTTATTGCGCTAGTGTACCTCACTCATTCATTAACTATTTTATATAAAGAGAATCAAGATTCATATCTCAATCCACAAAAAGATTGCGAATAGGATGTTCAGTTGTTTACTTTCTATTTATTTCTTTGATTTTTCATTTGTTTTTTTAGAATGATCATTCCCGTAACCAGATTGAGTATTTTCAATTATTGTGTAAGGAATGTAAACTCTAATTTTATTATTTTGTTTCCGCATTCAATTTATAATTTATTTCTTTTAAAATTTTGGATCCCTAAATGAAATATCAAAAATAGATCATCAACTATGATTAACAGATAAGATCAATGTTTGGGGATTAACACCTTATTATATTATATGATATTATATATATTAATTGTTGCTTGATACAAACACCTAAAAAGAAAAGGAGACAAACAAATACAGCTTTCTATATGTATATATATTATATGTACGAATGACATGCATGTAAAACTACATATATATCTATATATATATGTTGTTTATTGTCACCAAAGTCACGACTTATATTTATATGATATATATAGATATACTTGAAAGGTAAGTTGTATTACTATAAAAGTTAAAGGCCAAAAATTTACTTATATAATTTAATAATACTCTAAGTTTACCAACTTTTTTTTAATTAGATATTTAATATATTTTTTATTTTTTATTTTTATTATATTACAAATTTGAGTTATACGGTACATACATTAATTAAAAATCTCCCACTACTAATAGTAACAACTAATATATATTATGTATAAACTAAGAAACATATTATTATATATTATAAGTTACATATATACGTATGTGTGTGTGTGTGTGTGTGTGTATAATAAGTTAACAAAAGAAATCATATAGGTATATAATTGTCTCAACTTCAATGCATATATTCAAAACCATATTCAAATCAAATTGACCCCAAAAAAATCCTCTAAGCTAATAAATTATAATTGACAAATATATTATATGTTTTAATTAATAAACCCTATTTTTTAATTAATTAATATTTTAATATTTCATAAATACTTTCGATAATTATAAAGTTTACCATGATTATCTTTCTTGATCGAGATTTTAATAGAAGAGACTTCCCATGAGGTGATTGAAGACAGGATTCATTAAAATTGAAAATCGTTGGACAAAAATAAAGTTAATGCATTATTATATATATATATATAATTATTAACTATAATTTAAGTATTTAATGTATGATTGAACAAAATTTAAGTTGTAATAAAATCAAAGAAATTCACTAAAAAAAATTAAATAATTTCTTAATCTTAATCAACATAGATTTTCTTATCTATAATTAAATTAAAAAAATAATTATGGCACTCGAAAATTGGCCTAAAAAAATTTATGAAGACTGAAAATCATATTTGGAAGCATTATGAGATTTTCCAATCTCCACAAAGCATGAAATTTCAATTCAAAACTCTTCAAATTCCATTTAAGTAGCAATGTTTTATACATCTATTAGTAAATATTGTGGTTATATATTTTATTTATATGCTTTTAATTAATGTTGTAATAATTATTTGGTCGCCCACTTAATAAAGTTGACTCTTTATTTTCTTCTAAATTACGACATAGTCTTTTGTGTGTGTGTATAGATATATATATAAAATTACTTAACAGAATTT